AGCATTTCTATATATAGAGAATTTTGGGCCAAGGATTGCCTCACATCCCAAATGGTGTCTTTATAAAATTCAAAAACTGTTCTTTCATAAAAGATTTATTTGCCAATTTTAAAACTACACACAAAGTTTTAAACAGGCAGGTCAAATCCTTAGAGGTGTCTCCATTACAGCACATTATGGCCAGTACTTCCAGCTCAGTCCTTTAAACTTTTTCAAATACAGGATGAAAAAGCTTTCGTTGAACCTTTTATTTCCATGACAGGTTATTTCCCTGAGAAAGAAACATTTCCTTCTGTAAGACTTGTCATTCATGTAAGGACAGCTCTGTGGCATCAACAGCTATGCTCTGTCTGGAAGCAGAGATTTCTTTGGCCCAGTGGGAGACAGAGGCCAGTGAGCAGATCCAGGAAGAGTGACCCAGGCCTCATGCTACACCATCAATAGCTTCTTTGAGCAATAAAGTCTCTTCCACCCTGCCTTGTGTTGCTACTTCAGTCTGTTCCATACTGGATTGGCTATTTTTCCACAAAAGAGATTTTTCATATTTGGTTTTAAAAAGCAGGCCATGACCTGAAACAAACAAGAGAGAGAGAGAGAAAAGAGAGGAAATTATGCCTTGACTACCTAAAAACTAAAATATAATCATCAAGGGAAAAGGGATTAAGGAATTACAGAAAAATCCCCAACATACAAATTATATCACATAATGTCAGCAAATGAAAACACCTAATGAAACAAATAAATGTTCACAGAATTCACAGACATGAATTTGAATAAGCTATAGGAGGAGACAATTTTAGAGAAATGTGGATCTCTCAGGAAATCTACTAAAAACTTTAGTAAAATCCATTATTAATACAGTATTTATATTACTAACATGCAGTGGGGGCTTTCCATGCACTGCTATACATGTGTGTCTAACTATGGCTGATCAAACTTTAAATACTGATGGTTCTCCAAGTTTTACTTTTCTTGCCTGTTACCCTGGGAGCCTGAATCTCAAACAAATAAACAAAAATGGTAATTATATTTAAAAACATCCTTAGAGCTTAAAGGAAATCACTAAACAGTAAAAATAAAAAACCAAAAGAGACTTACAATACTCAATATACTGAAAACATTTTTAAAAAAGCAACAATAATAGAAGCAGGTAGACTGCATACCAAATAGACTGCATACCAAATACCTTCCTAAAAAGAATGCTTATGGAAGACCACTAATAAATGAAATTGAGCAGCCCTTGGAAGGGGGATCTAGAACAAAAGTGCCAGTGTTATTTCACTGACATTTGTCTTATCAGGATGTCTGAATTACATTCTAGGGTTTTATCATTAACAATCCTAATTTTCCCCAGTACCAGAAATGCCAATAGTAGATGGGCTGCCTTCCATGGCTGACGAGCCCCACCTACCCGGCCTGCTCTTTAATAGTGCAAAAGTATGATCTGATCCTTAAAACTTTCCTGACTCCCCGGCTTATGCAAATCTAATTGGCTTTCCTATTTACCATATTAAGGCCAGATACATTCTAGGGTTTTATAATTAACAATCCTAATTTTTCCCCAGTACCAGAAATGCCAATAGTATAGAAACAGGGGGAAATGGATTAAATATGCTGGATTTAACTGAAAGCCGAATCAGTCACATCTAAATACAGTTTTTGTTTTTCTTCAATTATTAGAGTGTTGAAGCAGGGAAATAGTCAATAGGCTTAAACTATCCAGGCCTGGCTTTAAAACCTCTCTTTAAAAATAAAAAACCCACTATTCTACAAAATGGAATGTTCTCTTGACAATTTGCTTATTAATACTTACCTGGACAATCTGCTGTTTCTCTAAAAGCCCTTTTCTTACAGCATCCTCGGCAAAGGTTAAACACACATTTATTACCCTGCGAACAGAGCCAAAAATTTTGCTCGATTTCAGCACAGTAATCTCAAGATGGCAATAAAATTGTACACCTTGCATCTGAATCAGGTTGTAATAAGCCTCACACCTAGACACAGTTCAGGAAATTCTTCACAGCGAAAAGAATCATCTTAGGTGCACAAATTAAATGCAGATTTTATGAGAAAGAAGTAACATATGTGCCTGGTGGGAGCAATGTTTTCAAAGTTTTACAATCTTACTGAGTTTCTTTAAAACAGAAATGAACAAATCTATTATGAATAGCTGCTATGCTGGCTAAAGTTGATGCAACCCATCATCATCTGAAAGACCACATCTTCACTAGCTTTAGAAGAATGTTCGTAAGAGGTTCTGAACTGAAAATTGTTGTCTGTACCATTCTACTATGAAGAACGTGTAATAATCTAATTTGGGATTTTTTTCTGCAGGAACAACTCATCAGATCCCTTAAACACCCTTTCCCCTCTTTTCTATTGTGCTACAGATGTGATCTCTAACATCCCCAACCCTCTACCAGACCCAATACACTAAATTTGTCATATTACTTTCTTGTACCATCAGTGGAAGGCAAAATTAAACTTCAACAAAAAAGTAAAAAAAAAATTAAAGTATTGTTAAACCTGTGGCCCAGATGTTGTATTCCATAAATACGAAGTGAGTGTCAAATGTACTGTAAAAGCTCACACTGATACAAATTTGTTACTCATTTAGAGCCACAGTACTTTTGCTTCTGTTTTCATTTTGCCATTGCCGAAACAAACTAACATAGTTACCTCTTCCTGGGAAGGGTCATTTTGCTGCCCTTTAGACACTACAGAGGTTGCCGTGTCTAAAGATCTACCTCTCCCAGGAAGCCTTGTAAATTCCAGGGAGCACAAGGGCAGCTACCTTGTTTTGGGGAGAACCAAGTGCCAGATGGAACCCATGCAGGTAGGAACAGTTGGTCTTGGGATTTTTGTTTGTGGACTGCATCTCCCAGAATTCTGCTTGAGCAATTACTGGCAAATTTGGGGAGTCCAAAGTATGTAAAAATTCCATCCTTATATTTCATTACATAGCATCTCATCCTGTCAGTAATATGGCAGCAGCAATTTACAGTAATGGAAGATATCCTCTGCCAGTCTTGAAGCTTCCACACAATAAAAAGGATTATTTCTGAATCAGAAAAGCTGAAGGAGAGACTCCTTCATTACCAAAAATCTCCCATTGCTGGTGACATTATCCCTTTCTGAAATCATAGCTACACCAAAAGGGTTTTAGCTATTGGAAGAAATCTTTGGAGATGTTACGGCAATTTTCTTAAATGTGGTCCAGAATACAAAGGAACAATATCCTGCCCCAGAAGTGTCCAAGAGATGGCAGCTCACCACCATACACAAAAATAGCTTATCACTGAGTGAAACAGATATAGCACCAGGTAGCTATAAAATCAAGATACACTTAGCTCAATCACACGAAGAAAAGGATACGTAACCATTGGTTATTAAAATGATTTAAAGCTGAAGCTTAAAGCAGGGGTCCCCAACCCCCAGTCTGTTACCAGTCCGTGGCCTTTGCAGGACCGGGCCGCGGAGACAGCTCTCCTGCCCCCCATGCACTTCCCCCATGCATGTCCACATGCACATGTGGCCTACCTACCTGCACAAGCGTGCCCTGCTCACCTGCCTTGCCCACCTGCATGAGCGTGTCATGCCCCTGCAAGTGTGCCATGCCCCCCATGAGCGCGCCAACCCCCCATGCATGCATGCAAGCATGCCATTCCCACCCACGAGTGGGGGTGCCCGGCACCCCCAAGTGTTCCGTGATTCGGAAAAGGTTGGGGACCACTGGCTTAAAGCAATAGCTCCACGTGCCCCCCCAACAGTTTCAGATGCCTTCAGTTCACTGTTTTGAAATATTACAGAGAAGCTTGCAGACTATGGACTTTCCTGTAGGGGGAAACACATCTGCACAGCCCCACAAAGGAAGCAGCCTGCCATTAGTGATATTCAACTCATAAGAGATTCTAGATTGAAAGTGAGGAGTGCAAGGAAAACTTTCCAGCAGTTAACTTCCTTCCAGTTCTGCAGGTCTAAAGTTATTATATTATTATTATTATTAATCTACTTTTTCAGAAAACAGGACAAACCAGCCCAACCTATTTAGATATTGGAGCTCTGCCTTGGGTTGCCCTTTTTTCTGAAAGATTGTCAGTTAACAAAAAAGGAACACTTATCTCAAGCAACAGATGTAATTTCCCCCTAGATTTACTGGCTGAAATCCCTTTGGTGCAAGTTTATACTACACAACATGGACGTCATCATCTGACAACAGAAATAGCTAATTTAATTTAAATTAAAACATCTTATCCTACACTTCATGTTCCAGGCCTCCTTAGGGATCCTGTTTGCTCTAAGGAAGCTTTTGGAGAGAAGAGACTTTCATATCAGAGAATCACAGCTGGACTGCCGGTGGTAATTCTCATGCAGCAGTGATTCCAGCAGCAGTGATTTTCCAGTATAAAAAATTCCCTCCACTGGTCTCAAAGCTCCCTAGGGCAAAAAGATCCCCAGGGAGCCTTTGGACCTAAAAGGGGATGGGGGAAATAGGAAGTCTTAAAGGTTTCTGTCACCAAATGATGATGCCACCTGACTTGTGTGGTGTAAACACACTAACAGGATTTCGACCTAAGATCAACATATTAACGAGAATTGGAAGAAAAGAGAGAAAAAGGTAGACCCACCTTTGGGTTTCCACACTGATCACATTTTGCATATTTAGCTAAAAGAAAGAAATTAAACCAGTTAGTACTTCAGCCACTGATGTATAGGAAGAAGATGGGTGTCTACTGACATAATTTCTACATATGAATTTTATACAGCACCACCAAAACAAAACAAAACACTCAGTTATGAAAAAGAACTTAGTGAAAAATGTTAACATGCATGCAAACCTTGAAATTAACTTTGCCCTCTCCTCAGACTAATGGGTTCATCCATGTTACACAGAACTGTTTAGAAAGAGATGATGAAATAGCTAAGGAAATGAACTGAAATGGCAATGAAAAGTAAGGTGTCCCAAGAGTTACTGCTGAAAACAAAGCACTCAGTTATGAAAAAGAACTTAGTGAAAAATGTTAACATGCATGCAAACCTTGAAATTAACTTTGCCCTCTCCTCAGACTAATGGGTTCATCCATGTTACACAGAACTGTTTAGAAAGAGATGATGAAATAGCTAAGGAAATGAACTGAAATGGCAATGAAAAGTAAGGTGTCCCAAGAGTTACTGCTACAGTAAAGAAAGCCTTTTATGCTAGGTGAAAACATTGCCCAGGCATGGGAGCCATAACTTATTTCATATAGAAATCTGTAGTTTGTGGTTAATATTTTTACACTGTTTTTTCGTCTTGAAGCCTCGTCTTGCGTAAAATATTTTCTAGTAACAAAAATCTGTGAGCATCTTTCCCCAGTGCTTTCTAGCCAGCTGATTAACAATCTCAGTATATAATGCAAGGGGTGGATAAAGTGGATAGAGGGAAGTTCTTTCCCCTCTCCCGCAATGCTAGAACTAGGGGACATCCACTCAAATTGAGTGTTGAGAGAGTGAGAACAGACCAAAGAAAATATTTATTTACCCAGTGTGTTGTTAAGTTTGTGGAACTCCTTGCCACAGGATATGGTGATGGCATCTGACCTAGATGCCTTTCAAAGAGGATTGGACAGATTCCTGGAGGAAAAGTCCATCGCAGGTTACAAGCCATGATGGGGATGTATCATCTCCAGACTTAAAAGGAAGGTACTTCAAAATGCCAGATGCAGGGGATGGGAATCAGGAGACAGGTATCTAGTTGTCTCATGTGCTCCCAGAGGCCTCTGGTGGGGCCACTGTGAGATACAGGAAGCTGGACTAGATGGGCCCTTGGCCTGATCCAGCTGGGCTCTTCTTACCCAGTTAAAGAGAACTTTATACAGTTCAGTGTTATGTATGCACAGAGTAGCATTGTATCCCGTAAAGAATTTTTTTAAAAAAAGTCTTCCAGTTTAAAACAAAGTGCATAGTGTGTACACACTTTGTTTTTAAAAATTATTATGCTTCTGGGAATCTTAAGTTCTCATGTAAGACAAAGTGTGTGCTCCTTGCACACCTTGTTTTTATGATGAAAATAGGTGGGAATATCACTGCTGCTGTGCCACCAAATTTGGCAGGAACCAAAAAAAGGGAAGAGGTAGAGAATGTAGTCTGCATATTGCTCTCCTTTAATCTATGAAACCGACTATATGCTGAAGCCCTACATCTTACGTTTTAAGGATGGATCAAAAGTTTTATTAGGATTTCTTAATTTCTTCTTTTGTTTGTTCTTTGAAAGAGAATCTGAGCTCCCATCTTCCTCATCTTCCAGAGCACGTTTCCCACGTGTACTTCCTTCTGTTCCACCAGTGCCATTTTCCTTACTTGTTTCCTTGGGCCTGTGAAGGTCAAGCACCACAGCATTTTCAAAGGATAAGGTTAACAACTGCCTTCTTCACCAACCACAGTATTCTTAAAGCCTGTATACGGCGCAGGGATTGTGAAGAAACTGAGAAACTGAGGGATATGAAACCTGGAATCCATCTTCAAATATAAGACCTGCCTGTGTGTGCCTGGGAAGCTGGCTAAGTGCTGTTAACACTCAAGGTCCACGTGGTAAGAAGGAGGCGTAGCACCTGCAGCTTATCTCTTGAGAAAGTAGCTTTCAAGGCCAGGCCCAGCCAGTTCCCTGGTAGTGTGTGCTAAGTAGGATAATGACTCCAGCTGGGACAGGGGGGAAGTGCTTCATGAATATTAGAGGGAATGCAAAGTCTGATTGTTGATTAATCTGGAAGGGTCTAGAATGGAACATTAATGTATAGAAAGAGGTTCAGAAGTAGTTGACTTTAGTAGTTTAACTCTTAGGCGACGCTATGCTGTCCTGCTACTGTGGATTTACTCTGTGCTTGCCTTAGAGCTAAGGTGATTTCTACACTAGTCTGTGAGTATTAGGGAGAATAGTTTCACTTTGAGTGTGCGTGCTTCTGATTGCCTTAACTTTGTCTCAGTTGTATTTTTGCTCCAAGTGCCTTCTGAATCCTGGCTTTTTGTCTCTTAACTCTGTTTAATAAAATATAAAAACTTCTCCAAAGAATTGTCTGTGCTTTTGGCTTAGAGGATTTGTGCTACTGGAATCCAGAGCTGACCCTTGACTACCCTAGTAATCGTTTTCGTTCCTTTGTGGACATGATAGCAGCTCTACCTTGCAAGGTGAGCATACTGGTTCCAAGTGCTGGGCCTTTTAGGCTTCCGACTCCCTAGACACACTGCCATGTCTAAAAAAACTAGGGTGTTGGGAGGCCGAGAGGCCAGCTTAGTTCCATAGTCATAACCACAAGTCACTCTCCTGGGTTCCAAATGGACAGAGATCTAGAATCACCTCAAGTCAGCTAGGGTCAGAGTGGAAAGCTTCTCTGAAAAGCCATGTCTTCAATAGTCTCTTGAATGTCAACGGGGGGGGGGGGGGGGGCGAAGCTCCTCTGGAAGCTGGTTTCACAGAAATGGAGCCATTTGTTTGCAGTTCCCCTAACTCACCACTTTGCTGCAGTTAGGCACGGTGGCTGGGAATACAGCCTTGCCCTCCAGATTTCCATATGATTGTTAAGCTATCAATTAAAAACCACACATAAGTTTAATTCTCAGGATGGAAGAATCTAAGCTATACGCATTGCACAAGCTATTTCTTGTGAACTGACACTGCAGTATGGAGTCTTACCCTGGCCGGAGATAGGGCTGACAAATCCAGTGGAAGAAAGGCAAGCCACCCTTTGGGTTCTCTTCTTCCTTCAGCTGTGCTATTTCTTTCTGTGAATACAATTGGGAACAATTACAAGCTTTGAGAGAAATTACAAAATTGTTGCATTCTTTCAATAGAAAGAATGACAATGGAGTTCAAACCATCTTTTTTGGACAGGGCAGGATTAGCCCAAACTTGGGCAAGGCAAGACTATACCATCAATTTCTCTTGGCCAAGCTGTCCCCCAACTAAAAAACAGAATTGTCCTGAAAATGTGAAAAACTCAGCTAGCACCTGGCAATGTAACTTCAGTTCCCTGCTGACAGCCGTAAGTCCCTCCAGGGTCTTCACTTTTGCCAACTCATCACGAAGATGCTGGTGAACTTGCAGTCTGAAAGGAAATCAACACACCAAAGAGTGATTCTAGTTCCTACTCCAAGGTTAGGATTCAAGAAAATATTTGCAGCCAGATCCTGGGTCATTTCTGCAGCTGTAGTGCAGACTTTAATCTCTGCTATATGACAAAAACAGTATCCTAAACTTTCTGAGTGTTGGGTGTCAAAGGGACCATAAAACACAGAATCACTCACGTGTGATGCCAAAGCTTGAAGAGATGAGCCCTGACATAAGACAGAGGACAAGGATACTGTTTTACTATTTCCAAGTATTCCTCTGCCATCTCCCAGACTACAGGGTTTCTTCCTTCAAACAAGGCCGGATTATGAAGATTGCCCTCTAAAAAGAAGAGGGGGGGGGAATGAAGAAAAAGTTAAGCTTTTTGTTTATGGCATGCCAGAGTCTCATAACATAAAATACAGGCTGGTAGCAATGGGGCAAATAGTCTTGATCACTAGCCCATCCTTCCTAAGGTCCCAGAGTTGTTTCAGCTTTTTTCACCCAGTTGAACTCCTTGATTCAAAGGAGGAGGCAGAATAGGTGAAGCCATGGAGAATTCTGGGGGAGGGGAAGACTTAAGTGCTTTTTCCTTCACTCACCACTTCAAATATTCAGTTTTCATTATCTGTGCCAATGAAGGTTTGGTATCATGTGTTTATTTGCCAAGCTGCCATGTAGTTCTGCCCTCCATCATTTAAGAGGAAAATCAAAATGTTTTGAGATTTATTTCTTGTCACTCTTCAAAAGAATCCAAAGCAATCTTTTTAGCCATGTTCTTCATTCAGTTGAGCTGTGAGATATTTATCTGCGCAAGGTAACTCACAGATCTTCATAACTAAACAGGGCTTTCGCCAAGCCTGCAGCCACTGCACCATCCTGATTCTCCAAAATAAAACCCCAAGCACACTAAAAAACTTTGCTGCTCCTCAACAGCCACCAAATCTTGAATCAGGAATTTTTAAGGGCCAATAACTTCCACTAGAACGCAATGTCAATCTTCTGGAGTTACAAAAATGTTAGCTGCTACTTCGGGCCCTGTTACTCTCCCACTTTCAATCTGAACTAAAGTAGTATCTTGGTTTACGAATTTAATGAATTCTGTGGGACGTTACATAAAGCAAAAAATTCGTATACCAAAACGCAGATTACCATAGGAACAGGGGTGGCGCTACAAACCTCCAGGCACAATGCATCCCGGGGAAACTTTCTTCACAAACCAAAAAACCCAGAAAAAAAAAACATAAACAGAGGCATTATTTTCAACAGATTTCTGTTCGTAAACCGAAAATGATGTAAACCAAGGAATTTGTAAACTGAGGTACTACTGTACAGTAGATCTTTCATGCATGGCCAATTTTATTAATAAAAAAGTATTACTAAAGTATTAATTTAAAAGGTTTAAATGAAAGATAGGTGAAGTGTAGTCAGTGATCTGCATACTGCTCTTAAAGCCCTCATCCCCTTTACCGACAGTTGTTGTTTAGTCGTTAAGTCTATCTGACTCTTTGTGACCCCATGGACCACAGCATGCCAGGTCCTCCTGTCTTCCACTGCTTCCCAGAGTTGGAATTACTGACAGTTACCTCCACCAAATTATTTTGTTTAAAGTTCTGGGAGTGGGTGGGAGATGTAGGCCTTTGGAGGTTGCCAACCCTTGTATAAGTTGTTTTTATGCATCATCAAGTCACTTCTGACTTAGGGTAACCCTATGAGGTAACAACCTCCAAATGGTCTTATCATTTTAATAGCCTGGATAAGGTTCTGAAAACCAAAAACTGTGTTTTCCTTTTTACTGAGTCAACCCACCTCATGGTATGGGTTTGTTTGTTTAGAACCATTCTTTTCCGCAGTAAGCTGTGCTTAAAAAGTAGCTTACAATAAACATCACTTTTCAAAATATATCACATTTGAAGAGAGAGAGAACAGACATGGCCAGAAGCTGACTTCCAGTTTTTTAAGGAATCGATTGTTTTTTCTGTGAAGCACAGCAAAGAGCCCTGCAGCTTATTTAAATTACTCCTCCTGGGTGTTTCTGGAAATGGCCAGTCATCCCTCTCCTTTTTTAAATTCTTGCAGAAATCATATTTAGGTAGGGATAGGGAATTTGATGGGCTAAAGGGTAGTAAAAACAGCCTATAGGAACCGTATGCAGCCCCAGAGCCACATTCCCGGTTTAAATGCAGCTCAGGAGAGCTGGTATAACTTAGTGCTACACAGTGCAGAAGCTTTCATGATTTTACTTCCATGTGCAGTAAAAAGCAATAAAATTCTGGCTCTACTATTAATCAGAGGAATTTGGTTGAATAATTGAAGAATATCAAAAAGCAAAAACTCTCTCTCCCTACCTGCACTCATGACACCCTGTACTCCTGTCTTCTGAATACACTGTTCCACATCACTGAGGCACTGAATGTTTCCATTTGCAAAGACAGGGATGTTTACAGCCTTTCTATGACAATAAACAGAAATACGAAGGCAATAAATTAAAAAAGCAAAAGGCAAACCCATCCCATATTAAAACTAATCATGTTTGCTACTGTCACAAATGGACCAACTTCTCCTTCTTGGACAACATGCACAATCTTTTACCTTTCAGTTCCATGCACTTAAGAGAAATTGTTGGCTATGCAGTGGGAAGGCCCTGCTTCCTCCACCTGGCTACCTTACCTCACAGCCTTTATGTGCTCCCAGGAGGCCACGCCAGCAAGGGGACCCTTTTGTTCTTTAGTGCGACCGTGGACCGTCAGGAGCTAGAACAGAATTGGGTTTGCTTTTCAATGCATGTTAACCACACTAGAGACAGCATTGTTTTTCTTTCTGAGCTTTGGATCTGAAATGCATGATGCTCCTGACTTAAAAGCAATCCTCTCCTTTCAGCAACTATATCCCAGACCTGTATCTTTTTCAACATAAATTCTCCACTGGGATTTAAGGCACTTGTTTTGTAAGCACCTTCTCAGATAAAAGTTAATGCACAATGAAACCTGCACTCTAGCTTTCCCTCTCGGAAAAAAGAATATCACTGATGACCTATTCTGATAGAATCATTTAATAGACTTTGAAGCGAAGTAAGAAGATCAACAAATAATCCAGTAAAATGGGGCTACTTGGCTACGGGGCAAATTTTCTGGGACTGTGGAGAAATTAAATAAGAAGAGCCTGTCTGGATCAGGCCAAGGGCCCACCTAGTCCAGCTTCCTGTATCTCATAGTGGCCCCACCAGAGGCCTCTGGGAGCGCACGAGACAACTGGATACCTGTCTCCTGATACCCCTCCCCTGCATCTGGCATTTGGAGGTACCTCAATTAAAGCAGTACTTATGTGCATGCAATTTATATCCCACCATGTACAAAAGAAGAATCAAAATGGCAGAGAGAATTCTATTGAAGGAGCCCACTTCTGGTCAAAAATAGTCTAATTAACATTTTAATTTGTTCTTAATTTTACCTATATTTCACATATGTCCATACTTTTAAATTGTATGATGCTCTGAAAGAAAGAAAGAAAGAAAGAAAGAAAGAAAGAAAGAAAGAAAGAAAGAACTATTCTGATTACAGTATTTTTAATATCTTCACTGACCTGAAGTCGACTCAAAGACCAGCAACATTCTGTTTTCTCAGATGTTACTGGTCCTGTCATAGGGAACAATATTTTGATTCCAAGCTGGTTAAGACATTGACCTGAGTCGAAAAACCCAATTTGGGTCTCTAACTTTGCTTTAATTCATTCCTTCTTTTTTCTTCTTTCCACATGCAAGACAAGCAACCAAAACTCCTTTGACAGCATGTATCTCATTCATCTAAAAACACTGGAGTCCTTTACTTAACACAATTGGGAGCATCTGATTTCTTACTTGACAACCAGCTGCCTCCAGCAACTGGGCATATTTCACAGTCTTGCCAATATCAGGGAATACACGGATTTTACACGTGACAGGAACAGACAGCTTCTCGTTCGCTAACATGACTGGAAAAGATGACAGAAATAATAATTAGGAGATGAGCTCACAACACCAGCTGCAAACACCAGCACACCTTTCTTCCGCTGCACTGCCTATACCATGGAGTCTCCTACATAACTGAATTGCAATAATAAAAAAAGAAAGGCCAGAATCCCACATATTCCCTTTGCCAATACAGAAGGCTCCTGTCAACAGAAACTGGCAGGATTCCACCAGAAACACTCTGGAGCAAATTTGGGGAGGATGTGTGGGCTGTACAGCAAAATGCAACTGTTGAAAACTGGGCCTCTCCCCATTCTACTGATAGAAGCCTTCTCTTGGTGAAGGAAATTCACTACATTTCACCCCACAAATTAAAACATTTCCCCAGGTAAAGGCACGATCAATGGAACATTCAGTTTCCTTGAGGCAGGTGAGGGCACATGGACCCGAAGGATCCGTTCATCTCTCATGTGCCCACCTAGCGCTCAGGCTCTTTTTAGTGGCGCCCTCTTCTGGATGCCCCTATCAAGTGAGCCGCAGTAACTGGCTTCAAGCAAAAGGGCCTTTTAAAAAAAGTGATGCTAGGTTTGCTCAGGCTTACTTCCGGGGACTTTGGGGCAGCAAGTGAAGAACCTTTGATACTCCCAGGTTTTTTCAACCCTTGCCATAGCTTTCAACTTGGCCTTAGCTCTGCGATTGCTGTTCTTTGTTCCGTTCTGATTTTAATCTGGTGGTGTCCAAGCCTGCTTTATTTCTTCTTGTATCTTTAACCTGAAGTTTTAAATAAGTTGTGGTTTTAAAGTTAGCAGCTTTCAACAAAATAAATGAACAAAGGAATTAAACAACCAGTATTCTTCAAGGTTTTTCATATTCGTGTCTTCTGCCTTTTTTATTCTTCTTACACTTGCCAGTTCATCTTTCTTTTTTCTTTTCAAACTTCTCTGAATGAACTTCATATCAGTACTGCTGCAGTTATATTTATTTCCTGTCCTAGCAGTATTTTAAGTTTACAAGAAATTTGACTGAGTGAGTAACTAATAAAAGGTCAGCTACAGAGTACTGCAGGTAAATTGGACTCCAGCATTCAAGCTCGGGCATCACAGTAGAATGGTAGGCCATCCTGGTGTTTTGGGACTGCAAATCCCATGACCCTCACCATCATCATTGCTGGCTAGAGCTGACAGGAGTTACACACCAACAACCTCAGAAGCCAGAGTTTGTCACAGGACTAAAAGTAAGACAACAGGATATTAAGATTGATACACAGCATAGGGTTGCCCTCAATTTCAGCTGATTCATGGATCTGCCTCCTTATTAACTCCTCCATCAGCATCAGGCTCTGCTTTTTGCGTGACAAACTTTAAATATCAATGGGCTGATAATGATCCCTCTGAAACAAGGACTAAAAGCTGGTTCAGTGAGTTGGAGTACCTGGCTGAAGAGCCAGGACTGTGACTTCCCACTGTGCCTGCCAGGGGGAAAAGCAAGTTTGTGTAGCCATTATCAACATGGCCCCAATGTACCTCCGAAAGAGGGGAATGGCAAGCCCCTTCTAAGTAATAGATTCTCAGAAAACCTTGGAAAAGGGTCACCATATATTGAAATTGACTAAATGGGATGTAATTATTATTGCTGTTGTTGGTCTGTGCTGTCAAGTTGGAACAGACTTACACCAACCCTAACAGGGTTTTCAAGATATGTGAGAGCTTTAAGGAGTTCCACTCCCCCAGTGAGTTTCCATGGCTGAGCAGGGATTCGAACCCTGGTCTCGAGTCCTATCTGTCACTCTATCCACTACTACACAGGTAGGGCTAAACATTAAGCCATGGTACAATAATTCCTAGAGTCACTAGACATATCGGATATCCATCCCACTTTTTATGGTTCCTGGGGGGGGAAAGCAGCCCATCAGGCTCCTTGGTCAACAGCTTCAACTTACTCATTCTCTGAAGAAGGTCCCACTCCTCCTGCAGGAATGCACCATAATGACCTACAAAACATCAGCCACCAGACAGTAAATGATGGCCTAATGGGAAAACTGAGATAGCCCCCCCCCCACAAAAACAGCTGCACAGGTTATCTGTGCGGTTATTTATTACAATATTTTAATCCAACCTTCATCAGCACATCTCAGGGCGGGATGCAATTAGTAAAGTCATTTAAACAATTCAACAAGTCAGTCAAATCAAAGCATGAAAACTGATAGGTTGGCAATCAAGCCATAATGTACGCTCAGGCCCTGAAAACTCATGTTGTAACTTGGTTAATGTCAGCATCAGTCGGGTCTTCAAAGGTAGATCATTCTAGTCAAGAAAATGCTCTCCACACAGTGTGCATCTCACATTGGTAGAACACCAAGAACCCACACATACAGAGCAGATCTTTACGAAAGGACTATTATATACAAGGAGAGGCGCTCACTTGAATATTTCAGTCCAAATCCATTTAGAACTTTGAAAACTGTCAACACCTTGAACTTGGACCAGACACTATTGGTACTCAGTGCAATTCCTTTAAAACTGCTGTCACACTCTTTCTGTATGGTGTCCTAACCAGAAACCACTCAGTTTTTCCACATTCTAACCTAACAGTAGTATCTTGTTCAGAGTACAGAGTATATATCAGGACCGTCAAACGTTATGATGTGTAACCAGCAATGTAGCTCCTGCCTATTGCACTAACTGCCAGCCCCACGTTATCTTGTAGGGTAGTGTCACATAGGTAATGTTGCTCCGAATGGGAAGTTACCAATACATGAACTACTGTGGCCAGGTTGTCCCTCTCTGGGAATGCTCACAGCTGGCTCCAGGTACCAAAGAAATCCTTCTACATAGGCAAGAAAAGCTAGTCCAATCTTTGGTTTCAAAAATAGATTGGACAGGTAAGCTATTCTTCCACAGTACCTGCAACAACTCTTGCGAGCTAACATTTGGCAGGTCCGGAAAGCTTCAATATAGGGAGTTCTAGTTAATTTTTTTTTGTTACATCACATTTTGTTTGAAGAAGCCCAATTGACAATCTTCTAAGTCCTTCCTTCATCTAACAATACAGTCTGGCCCTATCTGGCTACTGCAACACATGCCCTAGTTACTTCCCAGCTGGATTACATGCTCTATACGGGGCTGCTGATGGAAAGTGTCAGGAAACTTCAGCAGGTCCAAAATGCAGTAGCCAGATTGCTGACTGGGGCTGGTTGCAGGGATCACATAATCCCCCTAATATAGCAATACTATATATATATATAAAGACATTTGGGCTTGTCAAAGGCATTCAGGCAATGCAATCCAATGCACTGAATAAAAGTGCATTGGATTGCATTGCCTGAATGTCTGGCAAGCCCAAATGTCTTCAGCAGCCCAGATGTCATGAAAAGGTGACTACTAGATCTTTTGTATCCCAAGAAGAACAATTATAATATAAGTATAATATAATTTATTCAGAAGTCCTAGAGTGTTCAATGAAGCTTACTCCCACATCAGTGAGCACAGAACTGCAGCCTAAATTACTTTAGATCCCTATTTATACATACCTCTCTTTGCAATCATCTGAGGACATCCCAAATTCAGGTCAACAGCATCACAGTAATCCTGAGCCAACAAGGCAGCTTGGACAAACACTTCTGGATTATTGGCACAGAACTGCGATAAAAGAAATGTGAGTGCACATGTACTTGTGTTATGTATTAAATGTATAAATACATATGTATATTATGCACATGTACATAAGCAATAGATCACCTTAACACCAAAATACTTGAACTACAATGGCCAGAATCCTACTTATGCACAAGCAAGAGAAATCATGGAGGTTAATTGACAAGATGCCAGTCACATGCCTGGTCACACTTCTGATTGTGCAACAGCACATGTCAGGAACATAGTAAGCATGCAATGCACCTCATTAATTAGCCAGATAATTTTTCTTATCAAAACACATTGTTTCCTATCTTATTTTACCCACTTTGAGGACAAAGACACAGAAAGACACTGTGTGGTTCTGATGTTTCATCAAAACCAGCATATCTGTCATATTTAATTTTTGTCTGTTACAGCTTGGGAAGTAATGTTGGCATGTTATTATAATTTTTTTCCACACTAGAGATTTAAGGATCCTCCCAGCTTCTAATTGCACTGGATTTACACATCCTCTATACTCAGACACACCTCACTAAACTTTATTCCTTATTTTTAAGAGGAAACACCTTGTTGGGGAGGAGAAAAAAATTCTGACATGCAACTGTGAACAAGCCAAGTTTAATTTATGCGAAAACAATATGGCAACAGGTACTTATGGCATATTGGTGTACAAGCACAACTATGCAAATTCTCATAAGAAGAAAAAACATAGGAAAGGTAACAAAAGGGATTAATATGTCTTTCTTGGTCAATCAGAGGTCCAAGCTTTCATGTGCCCCACTTATAATGTTACAACTTTACACTTCATACTTTTACAATTGCCAGTAACAGATTGATTCCTCTGTGTGTAGCATGACTGCACAATCCTATTCTGTCTTGTGATGCACTTGTGGTTTCTACATTCTCACTGAATAAAATGTATGTTCTTGAAAATTCTTTCATAGGCCCCAAAATACAGGATTTCCTCTACCACAGCACAGCTTTGTACTTTCACGGCATTCCTTGTGATGTCAACTCTTTATCCAGCCTCTTTTTATAAGAATGCCTGATTACTTTTGAATGTTCAATCTGGGCACCCCATATTTTAAAAGTTCATCATTTTGTAATATTCTACAGATGTTTGGTCAAGCCAGGCAGTATCTTTAAAATGGCTCCTTCTCATTTTACAATGATATGCTCAAAAAACTAAGCGAGGCTGAGAAGCAGGGGAGGACACTGCCAAGGGTACACATTCCCGTTTGTGGCAGTTGAATCTCAAGAGATTAGAGACAAATGTTTTTTTATAAGGGTAACTGTCAAGATATCCCTATGCCACAAAAAACATTTACTTGTTATTTTGTTACACTAAGGGAAGGTCAGGAGGGACACAACATAATACAAAAAGATAACAAATCACTCTGTGCCGTAATACAGAACTGTTGCTCCAGTTACAAAGAAAAGCTGATAATGGCAACTCTAAAAATAACTGTAATGGCACTTGCAGAAATAATCATAGGTGATGGGATAGCTCATTGGTTTAGATTAGAGATGGGGGTATTCGTATTTGCATATGAATGCAAATATCCCCCCCGCAGCTGTTAATGAGGGTCTGCCCCGTGGGTCCGAACCATCCACTTATGCATCTGGCAGCAGCTGCCTTGCTCATCCTTCCAATCACTCCCGGAGCCCCACTATCTTCCTGCTCAGCTAGCCATTCCAGGCAAGGGGAGGGAGGACGAATCTCCCTGCATGGCTGCTGAGCAGGGCTCCGGGAGTGATTGGAAGGACGGACGAGGCTGCTGCCGGATGCTGGACGAGCGGAGTCTCATGACTGTTACACATGCACTGGTAACATCTCGTATAGATTATTGCAATGCGCTCTACGTGGGGCTGCCTTTGAAGACGGTCCGGCGACTGCAACTGGTCCAGAATCGAGCTGCGCGGCTGGTGATTCAAGCCGATTCTGTTTAATTTACATAGGTTACCAGTTGCTGCCCGGGCCCAATTCAAAGTGCTTGTTTTGACATATAAAGCCCTAACCGGCTTGGCCCCTGGATACCTCAAGGACCGCCTCCTTCCATATGAACCTACCCGGCAGTTAAGATCTAACCAGGGGGCCCTTTTGAAAGAGCCATCCCTTAAGGAGATAAGAGGGAGGGCTTGTAGAGAAAGGGCCTTTTCAGCAGCTGCCCCCAGACTATGAAATGCCCTCCCGACTGAGATTCGTCTGGCGCCAACGCTGATGACATTTCGGCGCCAGGTCAAAACCTTCCTGTTCCAAATGGCTTTTTAACTGAAATAATATCAGCTGTAGGTCTGATGGCAATTTTTAGAATATATATTTTAATTGCATTTTAATTATTTTGCCCTTTTATTTTGCCTTTTTATTGTATTTTAAATGCTGTAAGCCACCCAGAGACCTTCGGGTAGTGTGGGCAGCATATAAGTTAAATAAATAAATAAATAAATAGATAGATAGATAGATGATAGATAGATAGATAGATAGCTAGATAGATAGATAGATAGCTAGATAGATAGATAGATAGCTAGATAGATAGATAGATAGCTAGATAGATAGATAGATAGGTGGACGGTCTGGTCCAGCTGCGCGGGGATATTCGTATTTGCATATGAATACTCCCATCTCTAGTTTAGATATCTGGCTGCAGAGCCAGATGTTCAGTTTGATTCCCCACTGTGCTTCCTGCAAGCAGAGCTAGTCTATGTGGCCCTGGGCAGACTGCAGGGAAGAAGGGAATGGTAAACCATTTCTGAGTATTCTCTACCTGGAAAACAGTTGGCATAAGTCAGAAAAGACTTGATGGCCCATGATGATGGTGAGAAAGAACCATAAAGACAATCTGAAAATATATCTGCCATTCCCGTATCTCACAGAGAGATGTAGCTATTGAAACCAGAATACTTAAGAAAATTATTTGGGGCATTAGGTATAATCCTCAAACTGTACAATGAACCACTGATTTCAGGCACACAGTGACAATATTATAGCAGTATGAGTTACTTGAAGCAACTTCTCTTCTATATGGATACAGTTACCATTTCTAACATGAATACTGAAACACTGTATTTTAAAGCCATTCTAACATACAGTATTTATTGTAGGAAGCATACAGCACTGCAAAAAGTATTAAAAATGGGCAGAAAGATCATCAATATTATTACCTGCACAATCAAAGGTCTATCTTCAGGGCAAACATCGCAATATAGGTTCTCCTTACGGTAATTGGCATCTCTGACAAAGACTTGAGCGTGCAGCATAGGGGTGTAACACAGCTGGGCTCCATGGCGGCGACTTAACAGTCTCCAAGCCAGTTCACTCTGATCCACCATGGGAGCAACCACAAAGTGGGCACCATTCAGTGTCTTTCTCCAAAAGTCAAAGCCCTTAAGTTTGGTCATCTTTTCCGACTGCAAAGGAATTGAAATGGCTGATATTTACTGAGCCTAGGAATAATACAGTAAATGTAATTTTCAAAGAAGTAGCCATGTTTCTATGCGCAAGTCATTCAGACAAAAAAAAAAAGTTGTGACACCTTAAGAACTCCCGTCTTTTGGAGTATGACATTTCATTATTTTATGTTCACATTTTAAGGTTACCTTAATCTGTAAAATATTGTACATCATAGTCTTGTTTCACAGTGACACAGCATACTTGATGTTATATTCTGATTCGTTAAAGATGCATATTCATTAGTGGCCAGTCCAGTCCAAACAGTACCCAATGGGTCAGTTACTACAGCACGACGGTCCCTTAGTAATGCCATACTGGGAATCAGAACCATGTATATTCATTGTTGCTACATATGTAACACCCAGACTCATGTCCTCTTCCCTGGATGATTTACACCGGCTAAGCACCCCAAGCAACCCAGACTGTCAAATTAACATTTCGACGTAAGGGTCATAACATCAGTTTTTGCCTTGTGAAGTTGTAACCTGCGCTCTCAAATTATTACCAGCCCAGTTACAGAGCCAAGCAAGAAATGTACTACATTTCCAGAGCAGTAGTTTCACGTTCGTGGGCAAACAGGGAGCTGACACTTTGCCAGCTTTTATAATAAAGCTACCCGAACCCGTCCGCCCTTCCTTTTGGGTCGGCATTTTCTAGCCCTTAAAACGACGCCTCGCCTCCCAGGCCGGCCACCACGAAAGCCTGCGAAGCCCCGGGGCTGGGGAAGCCCGAGCAGGCCGCTCCCACGGGGGCTCCTGCTACGTTCCGGGACTATCTTCTCAAAGGCAGGCCAAGAGCCGATCCCGCCCCTCGAAACGACCGCCCGGCCGGACCCTCCGCCCGAGCCTCCCTTCTTTCCCGCTTCCCCGGCGGTACCTGGACAACCGCGCGGCGGCTACAGCCGCCAACTGAGGCGCGGAGCCCCAGACCGGGCGCGGAGGCAGCCGGACGGCGCTTCCTCCATTCTGCTCCGACCGGCAAGGTGGCGGTGCAACTTCCAACCAGGCCCCCCTCGGAAACCGAGGCGCAGGCTATAGAGGCCCGCGCAGCGCCTGGATTCCTCTGGTTTTCTCTCAAGGGCGAATAGGGTGGAGGGCAATCGCTCCTTTCTCTTGTCATACCTTTTGTGGCAGGCTGTTGTGAGAGAAAAGGATGGATATCGCTTAGCTGTCAGTGTTAGAGCTCCTTTGTGAACAAGTACCGGGGGGCGGGGGGCGGGCGGAGGAATTTGGACGAACTTTCCACGAAGGCAGCGACTTTTATGCCAAAAATAAAGAGACTGCTCAGCTGTAGTTCAAGGTACTTCGGGTTCCTGTCAGGAAAGGGTTCAGCCTATGGACCAGCTTATGGTCATTGTCCTGGCTTGAGATGTGTTGGCTCTCAGCAAAGATGATGTTCTGCATCCAAACCGGATTCTCTAGTCCTTGAGCAAATTAGTAATTCCCGTCCCTGCATTTATTTTCCCATTCATTTTCTTTTAGTTATTTCTGGATTGTATATGGTGTAGCATTTTTTGGCCTTCGTTCATTTGCCTCAGCACCTCTGAGCATCTCTCAGTCAAAAAATATATTTTCGATTTTGGAGTCTGCTCAGAGAATGAGCAGAAGGATCCTCAAAGGCAGTGATATGAAGAGAAGACATAGACACAACCGCCTCAGTAAAGACGTTTCTAAGATCAGAAGAACTATGTGCTGGTATCCAAAGAGGCCCTTCGTAAGACAATTAAATGTCAAATCAGGAGCTAAGAAAAAGGCATATTTTCTGCAATTAACCCATTTACCTCCTACAAGTTAATCTTTTCAGAAATAAACACTTCAACAGTCAGATCTGCAAGTTAAACTTGTGTTTGCCCTTTAATGATCTGTGAGGTTTACACCAGCTCCTGACATCTTATTTTACTAGATTCTTCTTTTTCATCCACAGACAAGGACTCAGTTTTTAGTTTAAAAGATGTATTTGAAATAACAGGTTATGGTTCTTTTTCACAGTGGCCTTGGCTGCCAGATGGGCGGTAAATAAATAAATATTTTTTTCCTCTTTTAACAAAACTCAAGGCTAAAAAGACACTTCTTGGTTTTTTTGTTCATCTCAACCATTAACGGTCCTTTTCCTCTTGTGAAGTGGATGGCCCACCCTCAGTCTCTTCTTCTTTCTTGAAGAAATAATGATCTATTACCAAAAATGCTTGCTTCAATGCAACATACAGAGGTAAAGAGAAACACATAGTATCACAAACTGACGTCTTTCACCACTTCAGAAAGCACCACTTTTATTTATTTGTTATCCATATTATATACTGTAGCCCTTAGTCCATTAGTAATATGCATTACCATATAAAGAACCCTTCCCTCATTAATTCCAGATCCTAAAATTATCTCACCGTACTGCTGTATGTTTCTGTTGTTGAGTATGGGAAATAGCAGACATCTGCAGCTAATATTGTAGTTATTTATTAAAATGTCCTGGAACAAAGGGTGAACAGTGCTCTAAAGAAATATAGCAACTAAATTCTGCAGTTCTTATTTGCTAGTAAAGCCATATAGGTTTAGAATTATTCTATCCTCTCAGCAGATTATGCAAACCTCAGCTTCTCTTGCTTGTTGTTTAGTTGTTAAGTCGTGTCCGACTCTTCGTGACCCCATGGACCAGAGCACACGAGCCCCTCCTCTCTTCCACTGCCTCCCAAAGTTGGGTCAAATTCATGTTGGTAGCTTCGGTGACCCTGTCCAACCATCTCGTTCTCTGTCGTCCCTTTCTCCTCTTGCCTTCACACTTTCCCAACATCAGGGTCTTTTCCAGGGAGTCTTCTCTTCTCATGAGATGGCCAAAGTATGGGTGTTTCAGCTTCAGGATCAGTTCTTCCAGTGAGCACTCGGGGTTGATTTGCTTCAAAATGGATAGGTTTGTTCTCTTTGCAGTCCAGGGGACTCTCAAGAGTCTCCTCCAGCACCACAATCCAAAAGCATCAATTCTTGTCTTGCTAGTTCAATTCTTCTCTTGCTTGCTTCTACCAAAACCTGAAATTATTTCCTTCAAAGTGAAATAAGGCATAGACTGGTAACACAGAGAACTTCAGAGCTGGCCTGTTAAAGACACATGACACAATGCCCCATCCTCCTAGATGGAGTAGTCCTTCATCCAGGATAGATACTTGTCCTTCCAACAGTACCTACTTTTCTGTTCTGTTGTTTGTAGCCTACTGTCGTTGTTGTCATTTCCAGGAAATGATGATGAGGAGCTAGTATTTGTGGGGAAAGTATATTTCAACAGAATCTGGGATGAAAAACTGGGGGAATGTGGGGTGCTGTCATGATTTGTTTAGTTTCAAGTGAAGGATCATTTGTGCAGCTGAGTCACATGAGTCCATCCAGAACTGTGCTGTCTGTACTCTATATCAAATCTTTCCTGTCACCTCCAGTGCAGACAGAATGCAGTGTGGACTGCTATGTTTTGAGACAACCTTCTTTCCTCTGGAGAAAAAAATACATGATATCCAGGAATCTAATGCACAGCACAAATCCTGGTCTACATTAGATCAGAATGTATTTGATTAGTCCCAAGGTGAGCTCCTTATGGTTACACTTCATAAGCAGCTCACCTTGGTTGAACTCAGCCGTACAATATAACATATTGTAGAAAGAGGGGACTAGAAAAGATTAAGCCTGAAATCTCCCTAGAAGCAAAAATGACTAAACGGAGGCTGTCCTGCTTTGGGCACATCATGAGAAGACAAGATTTACAGGAAATAAAATTTTGCTGGGAAAAGTGGAAGCCAGCAGAAAAAGAGGAAGGTTGAACAATTGTCTCAGTAAAAGAAACCACACCCTTTTGTTTGCAATATCTGAGCAGGGCTGTTAAAAATAGGGCCTTCTGGTAGTTTCTGCAACAAAAAACTTTTTTTAAAAAAATATTTGCATAGTGCTGTATTAATACTAGCCACTAGAGAACAGATCATCTCCACCCTGAAGAGGAGAAGGTTGTCCTTTTTCATACACTAAGGGTAATAAAGGTGTCTGTCTGTATCTCACAGTGAGATGCCTGGTGGTATCACAGATTTCTAGGCTCATGGTCTATCCTATAGACTCCATGTGCAGCAAAGTGCAAGAATCAGCTCTCAAGCCATATACAAAGCAGACGCAGTATTGGTTGGGCTTAGTTTATTAATCCACGATGCTGGTCTAACAGCCACTAACTGGCTGTTCCTAGAACTGCACAGTCTACAGCTTGGACATGGTTACTGTTCTGGACTGCCTGGGGGATTATGGGAACTGCAATACAAAAATTTAACCAATTCCAAGTTCTGGAACAATCACAAAGCAAAGTCTGAAGAGGTGGGTTCTGCCCAATGTTAGTTTGCAAAAGACAGTCTGCCCCTCACGACAGAATATTTCGTACTGTGCCATGCAGGATGATGAGCAAATAGGCAAACCCTGATTTCCTTACTTTCTTATTTATTTATTTTGCTTTCTTTTTATGCTCCCCAGTACTTTATTATGTATGAAGAATACTATTCAGAAGTAATTTTGCTGACAGCTGTAATGATTATGAGTTAAAATAAACTCACATCCCCCACATGTGTAAGTGAAATGTCACATGACCTTTGTTTAATATTGCAGCTTGCACTGATTTCCCAAGTAAATACAGTACACGGGTATTTAGAGAAGACAAGTGGTCCTCTTCCCAGATGGTTCATCTACCCAGCCGAGCAGAAGTCACCCTTTCCCTGGATCAGGGTGCAGTTATCCAAAGGGTGTGAGAAGTGAGAGTTGGGCAACCATACTTGCAGAAGCAACTGTGTGCCTACAGAAGGCAGCAGACACCAATAGTTAGGATTCTTTGATGTTTCACTCCCTTTTCTCTTGAAAGATTTACTGCTTCCTTGCCTTCAGACCAAGGATCAAACTGGCTGTTAAGGGTAATGCATATTCTCTGTGATTAAGACAGTTAAACATGTTTCCTGCCCAACAATTAGGATTACCTCAAAGGAGCATGGCGCAAGAGTCAGATCTATGCATCAAGCTTGCTTATCCTCCAGTTACCAAACACAGGGTAGTGTGGTATAGCAGCAAGAAAACCTGGATTCAAATTCCCCCCTGCCATAAAACTCAGTAGCCAAGTCACAATTTTTCAGCTTAACCTGTTTCACAGGATTGTCAGTAATATGGAGGCAGAGAGCCATGGTAAGCTGCCTCTAGCTCATTGGAGGAAAGGCAGGAAATACATTTAGTCAATAAATAAGGGTGAGATATGGAGAGAAAGGAAAGCATGTGTTACGATGAACATATCTCTTTCACACTTCAAATGATGTGTTACATATGTTGTCTAGTTGGGCACCCATATTTATAGATCTCATTTGACCTCTGCTGCTTACTGTCGATCCTTCAGTGGCTTTTGTCTTAGTCATGTAGCCCTAGCCAGCCCCAGACTGTCAGTCATTTAATTTCCTTAATAAATCCATTCTTTTCAGGATGATCTTTGATAATGCTTCCATTTAGGAATGTATGTGTTACATAACAGCACTGATGTTACCTGTCTGTCATGGGTTTGGAGGGAAAGTTCCATCCTATGGGGAGTGGAAGGCGGGACATCAGGAGGAGGGGCTGTACTGTATATATATGTGAAGCCTGTGTGGAGAAGTTAGGAGAGCTGAGGAGAGCTGAGAGAAGAAGCTGGTGTGGGAGTCTGTGTGTCAGACAGGGTACTACTGTGTGTCAGTCAGTACCAACCTGATAGGTTCAGGTGTCTGTATGGGTAGCCAGAACTGATAGGTTCAGGGTCTGTGCTTTATTGAAAGGTGTTCTGTGTGAACCAACCTGGTGTATGTATGATTGAGACTAAGCCACGTTACTGTATCTTATTCACCTGATCATTTTATTTTCCCTGTGTGTTGTTTAAATAAACCTTATTCCTTTATTTGTTAAAAATCCATTCCTGGTCTGTGTGACTCCTTATAGGGAATGGTTGGTGGCAGCTTAGTGAAAGTGTGGCATCCTCCAGTAGGTCTGGGGTTGTTACATTGATTGGTGTCCAGCGTGTGGGATACGACTG